TTTGAACTGAATTTGTTATTTCGCTTTTGTCTTTTCACTTAATACCCACTTGTGGCATTCGTGGTGATACTTTCAGTACTTGGAATGCTTTATTTTTATGATGATAATGATGCACGGTAGCAGTGTAAATTGAGCTTAATTTACCAGGCCGGGGTTTTTGCCATTTGTGATTTCTGACTCTGGGAATAAATTTGCAGTTGTTTTCACTGAGTATGGTGTTTGTGTTATTTTTTTTGGAATTATTATTACATTGGAAGGGAAGGATGATTTGCTGTACCTGAAACGGAATTTGGCTGGAACAATGGTAGAGTAGCAGTGGAAATTGAGCTAGTATGAAAAATCATATTTTTCAAGTCATCCCGATTGGCAGAGGCAAAAACTAGTAATGGTAACTAAACAAATATGTGGTACATTGTTTTATATAATTTATAAGTCTTCCAACACATTATCAAACACTAGTAATGGTAACTAAACAAATATGTGACACATTGTTTTATATAATTTATAAGTCTTCCAACACATTATCAAACAACGGAAATATTCTCATACCCACGGTGGACACATGTTAATATGTTCACTGTTTAAGTGGCATGCATACATTGGTGATATATTTTTTTTTTAATATATTAACATCACCCATGTGATTTCTCACTCTGGGAATAAATTTGCAGTTGTTTTCACTGAGTATGGTGTGTGTTATTTTTTTGCAGTTATTATTACATTGGAAGGGAAGGATGATTTGCTGTACCTGAAACCGAATTTGGCTGGAACAATGGTAAGAGTAGCAATGGAACTTGAGCTAGTATGCCAGCTGAAGATAGAAAAATCATATTTTTCAAATCATCTTGATTGGCAGAGGCGAATACTAGTAATGGTAACTAAACAAATATGTGACATTATCCAATTTGATATAATTTAGTCTTCCAACATATTATCAAACAAATAACAATGGTGGAGAACTCAATCATGGTGGAGGTGTTGGATTTGATTTTTGTATGTAAAGTTTTTATTTCTCGTTCCTTCTAGTAGTTTTTGCTTGCTTGATAGCCTTTGAGGGTTTGGTGTAACCTCTCCCGTGTTGCTTCTGGGTCCCTTGTAAGCTCAAGTAGCTCTTAGTCCTTTGACTATGCCTGTACTGTTTTATTGAGTGATATATTAATTTTTCGGTAGTCCGTTGGAGAAAAAAAAAAATGTATGCTAATGATTTTTTCAATGAAGACAACATTATTTAATGCTTGATTTATTTAATTCAAATATCGTGATCCCTATATACAGCAAAAGCATATATTATTGAAATTAATTTTTAATAACATGATAATGTTAGGGTGAACAAGAGCTTTTTTTAAGACCAATATTAATATAGTTTACTAAATTATATTTATATATTGTTATTATGAAATGTTTGAAATTTGTTATTATGAAAATTATTTACGTGAACATGCGAATATTTATGAATTGACTTTTGTGATATGAAAATAAGTATGTGTGGCTACAAGGACCGGCCAGTGCGACTCTGCTGCTGGCAAGAAATATTTAATAGTAGCCTACAGGTCAATTGTTGATGTTATGACCGCTTATGTAAAATGGCCGAATGCAACCATCGGCAACAGACAATGCAATTAAAGGCTTGAACGCCTAAATAGACCGGTCAATGTATTAATTACATGATACCCGGTGATGTCGAATTGTCAGGTGGTAAGGCCATGTGCAACAAACAGTACACGTAAAAGGATATAATGGCTATATGTACATGGACCTGCCAATGCGGCTCTGACGCCAGCGAGGGGCAATACTAATTACTGATGGCCGATAAATAAAATGAATGATACATTGTATCTGGCCATATGAAAAAATGACTAAAGTCCTGATCAAGAACAAACAATATATGAATTAACCTAATTCTGAAAAAACAGTGATAAAATCTCCAAATTTATTAATGGAGAAACAAAAATTGATGTGGTACTAGAACTTACTACATAATGATTAAATGATATCATGGTATAGTATGCGGGAAGCTACCACATTATGATTAAAAAAAATGATGAAATGGTACCAGAAGCTACCATTGGATGATTAAAAAAAATGAAAAATTAGTACTAAAAGCTACCACTTGTGGGTGATCACACAAAATGGTTCCTCAATATATTATATGAGTCTAAGGGAAGATATCTGGTGAGAAGATCATATTGAAAATACGAGATCATATAGATATTACAGTGATGTGCTTCTGAAGAAGCACATATGATAATGATTATAGTCATGAAGTACTACACACATATCTTGAATGGAAAAACACATAGATATTATTATTACTGATGAATGAGTACAAAAGGATCAAATAGTGGAAATACAGATAAGAGATAGTGAATCCTCGATAAATATGCGAAAAGATTACATAATAGAACTCATAAAAGAAGGGTGCGTCTCGAGAGTATAAAACTTTGTCACTCTGCCACCCATGATTGTTATCTGGGTTCATAATGAGAGATCTATAGAATCAAAAACTCTTGTTAGCTTAACCCCTTGTTGATGGGTCTACTTCTAGATCTGAAGAGAACCGGTGGATTTGAGCTCAGATCTACTTGAACCGCCGCTGAATCGTCGCTAGACCGCGAGAATACATGCAAAAACTCCACGCCGGAGGTGTTTCCGACGTAGAGCTTCCGATGCTCAAGTCAGTATGAGAGTGATGAAGGGATGCTGCGCAGCAGCTATGAGGGGAATGTGGAATGAATGAGAGTTAGAGTTTAGGGTTACCTCACCTCCTTTATATAGGAGTGAACACTTACTTGAAGTACCTGAAATGTCCCGGTCGGTTGACCTGTAAGGTCTAAATTGCCCTGGTCGATTCGTCTCCCCTTGCTACTGAGTCATCACCAGATTCCTTCTTATCCATTAATGGTCAAGAGGTTCCAAGAAATATACCAAGTGTAAGGAGTCGTCGGAATGCCTCTCGTCTCGAGGTACAAGGAGTCGACCTCGAGTATAAACGAGTCGACCCAGGATCTCTTGGTTATTCGGAGGCTACGCTCGTGTTGGTTCTCAGATAGGTGTCGACTTTCGGGAAGTCGACTGGACGATGTCGACTTCCGAGAGTCGACTTGTAGGGCATCTGCCACTTCTTGTTATCGACCTTGTTAAGAGTCGACCTAGAGGAATCGACTTCAACGTGTCGACGGGTCCGTGTCGACATGACGAATCGGTTTGAGCCATTATCCGGTCGAGTAGGGAGCCTTTGGGCCGGTATATCTTTGTATGGCTATATCATCTAGTCCCTCCCCAAAATTACTCTAAGCAGTCGACTGCTTAAGAGTAAATTTGGTGAGGTTTGGTTGTGTCGTCTTCCTGCTATACTTGCTCGTACTTGCCTCTTCTATAACTCGTCTCGTCAGTTGATTGAGAAGCACCCCAACCTCTTATGATTGCTTTTTCGGTTAAGTCTGACACTCTGACAGACCCTTTTTGAATTTCAAATTCTGAAAACCCTAAAGCAACGCGCGTCAACTCCATCGCCGACTCTTCGAATTCTGCGCTTCATCAGGATCGTTGGTTCTCCTGCTGATCCAACGGTCAACATCTATTATCCTCATGTATAAATATATTTTGGGTTTGCCTCAGATCACTTTTCACGCTCCCAACTTCTTCAATCCTCCAACTGCTTCCAACTCTCTGGCAATCTTCGCTCCTCGGCTTCACCGGCGCCCTTCTTTTCCGGTGACTTCAAGTTCATTCAGAGTTCCTATCAACCACACCATCATGTGTAAGTTTACTATTTTCTTTTACCTCTCAAATTGCCATTGGTTTTTGCCTTTTTTCAGTTTTTCTGAATTTTGAAATCCCTGTGTGTTCTTCATGTTTCTTCAAACTCTTTTCGCGAATTTTGTGTTGGATCTTTGATTGTGCATGTTTTGCTTAGATTTGTTGTTTTTTGCTTTGTTGATTGTCGACTTCTGGGATAGAGTCGACTTTTCATCCTTGGCTAAGTCTATCCTTGTCGACCTAGTGGCCTTCTCTTTTCTTTCTCTATCCCTTCTTTGTTATTCTCTTGATCGACTCATGTCGACTTGCTGGTCTATCTCTTGTCGAATCGACTGAGTAATGACTTGTGGGCTTCCTTGTTTCCTTTTGGCATTGATAGAAGTCGAGTCGTCTTTCTACGACTTTTGGAAGTCGACTCTGTTTGTTGTGTCTAGTGTGTTATCCCATGGCTTCGCTAATTCCATCCTTTTTCTTTTCGTTTTTTTTCTTTAGCTTCCGACTCGTCCCCTCTCTCTGGCTCTCTCGGTCGCCAAATCAATGAGTATACCCACCAAGTCAATGAGGATTCCATTTTTGATTCCGTTCAAGTGACTGGTTATAAGATGGTTATGGCACCTCTTCGCGCCTCTTCTTCCCATGCTTCTGCTTCCAGCGTTGACTGGAATGAGTACGACCAAGCCCTTTTGGCGAGCGGTTTGGTCGATACTTCGAAGAGCCCTCCTCGAGGAGGCTCCCCTCGTCTTGACCTCATTCCTCGAGGTATACCCCTTAGGTTTTTAGATATCCCTGTATATAGAACGAGTCCTGTATCTATATCAATAATTGCTTCTCTTCTCGACTCTCCAAATATTGTATCAATAGTTTGCCCTTTGGCTAGATTAGCTGTTCTAAATCCTTTTTGTTATGCCTCTACAGCCGAGGTCGAGGGCTTCAGAAAATTTAGTGGGCTTCCTTCTGACTGGGAGTTTGTTGCCCCAGGCCCTAACGACGATTTTGCCCATCCCCCTCCCGGCTGTCATATGTTCTTCATAGACTAAGTCGTCTTCGGCCTTCGATTTCCCATCCAAGACGAGCTCTTTTTGATAAGTAACTTGTATAATGTTCCAATAAATCAATTTTCACCCAACGCCATTCGCATTATGATAGCCTTTATAGTCGTCTCCCGAATAGTACTTAAATTCCCGAGTTTTTCTTTTATTGCTACGGCTATCG